TGGTAGGGGAAAAAATAACATCTGTCACCTTCCCTACCCCTTTTAGCTCATCACGTTTATTAATATATTTGCATTATTGCTTCTTCTATTGATTTACTCTATAATTTTGTTATTCTTCTTGTAGATGTGCCTAAATTAGGCAGGAGCAATTGGCTGGCTTTTTGAGAAGCTCTAAGAAAATATGCAAATCCTTTCTTACAACTTCCTTTATTATCCACCTCCAGGTTTTGTTTTTGTCATTTTCACTTTTATATTGTCAGAGTTCCTAACATTTACTTCTTGTAACTATATTCCTTACAGAAATTTAGTGTTTATTTGTTCTATATTTAAATGAATTCCTCACAATCGATTTTGTTTCTCTGCTTTCGCCTTTTATATCCTGTTTAAATATCTTTTTTTGTCAAGGTGTTTTCATAAGAATATCTCAGATTCCTTCCCAACAGAATAAATGACCAAAAATATGCCTCAGCAATATGCAGAACTTCAAAAATCCACCAAATATGAAAAGAAGCTTCTATCACTGATTATCAAAAGACTATGAATACACTGTGATAACATTATATTTTTCTGTTGTAATGAGGTATGTTAGTTGTCTGCCTCAATATTTGTTCTTCCTCTCTACCGATAAAATTTTGCCTTTGACAATATTGCCATGGAGAAAAAAAATCATTTCACAATCTCACTCATACATGAATATAGTCATGTGGCATTCTGGTCAATCAAATGTAACTGGAAGCTTCCTATGACATTTCTGGGAGGAGTCCTAAAAGAAAGCCAAGTCAGTTGAAAAGGGCTCTTTTCTGCCCCCGTTTTTCCACCTTCCACTTTGTGATGCAGAAGTGATGGCTGGATGTGTAGATGTTTGTGCCATAGCCTACCTTGAAGTACTGGAGTAACGTTCTAGAATTGCAAAGATGATGACAGAAACCAGGGACCCTTAACATATAGTGGATTGTATAGTTCCAGATTTCTGACACTTTAGAGAGAAATACAATTTTACAGTGTTTTGACCAATAAATTTGGGCATTTTTGCTGTGTGCAAATGAACCTCTTTCATTGACAAGATTTTTTAAAAGTGTTGACAAGAGTGTGAGAAAATAGGCCAGCTCTATATATGGTTAGTAAAAGATAAAACTCAGTGAGAAATTTTGTGTTGTATATAAAAAAATCCATTGATGCACTAATTTTACTTTTAGGAAAATTGTATAAGTTATGATATATTCATACAATTAAATATTCTGAGTGCAAGTTTTTATTTTAAATGCCCTGGAGTGCATATTTTAAACTATTTTGTATAGTATAAAATAACCCTGTGTTTTTGAAAGAAAGAAACATAATAATGAGATAAGAATGAGAACAACCAGTATCAGTCATCCCAAAAATTTACCAAAACGTAAAGAGTATCTCCATAATGAAGAATTTACATCAACTAATGGGCAAAATAGCCAGCTAGCATTAAATTACAATATTGATCTCACAAATATTAATACTAATCCTAAATTTACATTGATTCAATGGCCCAATTAAAGACACAAACAGGCAAATTGAATAAAAAGTTAAAATCTACTGGTACGTTGTAACCAGATCTAACTCACAAGGACACACAAAGACTCAAAATAAAGGGATGGAGGAAGATTTGACAATTAAATGGAGAGCAAAAAAAAAAAAATAGTAGTTGTAACTTTTGTCTCCAACAAAATAGACTTTAATAGTAACAAAGACCAAAAGAAACAAAGAAGGACATATAATGATAAAAGGATCATGCAACAACAGGAGTTAATGATCATAAATATATACGTACCCAATATAGGAGTACCCAGATACATAAGACAAGTTCTTATTGACTTATAAAGAGATATGGACTCCCACACAATAATAGCGGGAGATTTTGACATCACATTGTTAATATTCGAAAGATCAATCAGATAGAAAATTAATAGGGACATCTGTGATTTGAATTTAGACTTGGAATAAGTAAACTCGGTGAATATTTATAAAATTCTCCACCCCAGGTCTACAGAACATACATTTTTCTCAGTATCATATTACACCTATTCTGAAACTGACTACACAATTGGAAGTAAATTACTCTTCAGTATTTGCATACCATCTCACAGACTTAAATGAAATATTGGTTGGCTCTTGTTATTTTCTTCCCTTATTCCTTCCTGTCTCTGTTGTTAAGTACAATTATTGGCAAAAAAGAGGTTTTTAATACCTTTTTAAGATTGCTTTCCAGCCTGGGCAATAGAGCAAGAATCCTGTTCTCTCTCCCCCTTTTTCTTTCTCCTTCTTTTTTTCTTTTCCTCTTTCTTTCTCTCTTTTATTCTTTTTTTCTATCTTTCTTTCTTTAGAAAAAAAAGAACGAGAGACAGAGAGCAAGAGAGAGAGAGAGATCATAGTGTAAAATATAAGAAAAAAAAATAAATGAAAGCCTAAAGGAGAAATTACCAAAGCGATGATTGGCTAAATATAGAAAATAGTGATGAATACTTTGGACAAATTGCATACATTTATAGTAGAGGTACTAAGAGAGAAGGGCTGAAAAATATTTGACCTAATTCAGCTCCAGAACAATCCTTTAAAATGGAGGAGTTGTTTTGAGAGCAAGCCTTAGAAGCTGGGGCCTTCCTTCACAGTACTCCTCAGTGTGACAGTTGTATGAGAAGAAGGAACATCTGTCCAGGACTTCAAGACCCAAAATCTAGGCCACAGAAGAGCCTTTCATTTTTGAAGAATGAACATTAGTAGAATGGTCACATGAAATCACAGAAAATATCCAGTTCTGTGTCATACACCTTTGATTATCTCCATGTGGAAAGAGGACTATTTATAATCAAAGAGTTAAATTCCAAACACAGGACAAGAGCCAAAATATCTTATTGAGACTTGTGAAGCACAGGTTAAACAGAAAAACAGAGAATTGAGTTTTTCTATCATGGGAAAGGGCAAAAAGAACCAAGAAAGGAACTGAGTGCACTTCTTTGGTAGCTAACAGTCAAGAAGAATCTATTACCGCCTTACCGACCTCATTTATGCATTATTTTTTGTTTACATTTACATTTTTATTTACATATTTTACCATGAAAACAACAAAGTCAAACTGAATACTATCCCATGCATAAAACCACAGGGGAGTTTTTACCTTGCACATTCTAGCAGTCATTCAACAATCAATGACCCTTTTTCCCAACTACTCTGTATTCACTCTTATTTTCCCGTCCATAGATGTGTGATTTCAACTTGCTTGATTCCCTTCTTGATGGCTAACACGTAGTTATCTATTTGAGGCCATTATCTGGATACTTCATTGGAACAAAAATAGATGAATGTCATCTTTCTTACAGTAAGCATTAACTCACAAAGATGTACTGTCAATGCCTTCCTAGTAATATGAAGTAAATGAATAAAAAAGACATTTGATGGATTTTCTCAAATTACTATCTAGAAATACTGTGCAGATTTACATTTCCATTGGCTCTATATAAATATGTAAATTTTCTTACTTTCATCTACAGAGGTCGTGATTTTTAACCTCTGTTAAAATTAAGATTTTTAAAGTCTTTTCTAGTGTGACAGGATAAGAGCACTATGATATGCATTTATTTGATTAAATGTGGAAATTAGAATTTTGTTACTGACCGTTTATAATTTTTTCTTGTGATTTGTTCCTTCATGTCTTAAAACTTTTTTTTTTTTCATTTTTGTATTTATCTCCATCCTCTCCTTTTTTTGTTAGAGACAGGGTCTCACTCTGTCACCCAATCTACAGTACAATGACACAATCATGGTTCACTGTAACTTCAGACTCCTGGTTTCAAGCAATTCTCCTGCCTCAGCCTCCCAGGTGGCTGGGATTACAGGTATGCACCACTGTGCCCAACTAATTTTTAATTATATTTTGTAGAGGTGGGATCTCACTATGTTGCCCAAGCTGGGGTCAAACTCCTAGCCTCAAGTAATCCTCCCTCCTTGGCCTCCCAAAGCATTAGGATTACAGGTGTCAGCCACCATGTCCAGCCCTATCTCCCTCTTTAATTAATTTGCAATTGCACTTTGTATATGAAGAATATTGACTTGAGGTCATAGTTGATAATAAAAGATGATTTCTCAGGTTTGTAAAAGAAGCTCTTTCTATATTGTGTGCAATTGAACTCCAGAATGTCCCCAATGCCATCCAGGTTAAGCAATGTTTGATTGCGTACAGGTGTATTGTCCCTTGGCAAATAATTCCCTATTCTAGGTAACTTATTGCAAACCATGGTTTAGGAAGAGGCAGCTGGAGACAATCTTTGTGGTTAAAGTCAGTTAGCAATTCTGACACTTCAACAAATAAAAATTTGTGATAAAATTTTTTGTATTTGTGTGTTTGCATGCAACTTGTGTTCTTATTGGGAAAGACAAGAATCAAGTCCTTGTTACCTCTTGCATTCAAAGTCTTCACTCATTCTTTGACTTTGTTTTGTGATAAAATATGATGAAATATGAAATGTGAAAATATTTTTGGGTAAGATTTAGAGGATAGAAATCAAGTGGAAACCATATTGTTTTTGACATTCAAAAACTCAGAAGGCCCTGACTGGCACATGGATAGGGAGAAGTGTGTGAAGTAACCTATTTCATTATCACTTGCTTTATCACTCTTTCTGAAGCCATCCAAGGGTGGCTGAGTTTTAGGAATTTTCAGCCTTGGTTTTATATTCCAGAATTGCAAAATTTTAAGCCTAATATTGAACTTGGGACACAAATCCAGGCTCTGTCTTCTTTCTGGTAAATCTTTTTTTTTTGTAAATTTCAACTCATATTTTAAATTCAGGGGGTACATGTGCACATTTGTTACATGGATATATTGCATCCAAGTAATAAGCATAGTACCCAATAGATAGTTTTTCATCCCACACTCTCCTCCCTAATTTCCCCCTCTAGTAGTCCACAGTGTAGATTGTTCCCATGTTTATGCTCTTGTGTTCTCAATATTTAGCTCCCACTTGTAAATAAGAATATGTGGCTTTGTTATTCTATTCCTGCATTAATTCACTTAGGATTATGGCCTCCAGCTCCAATCATGCTGCTACAAAGGATATGATTACATTTTTGTTTATGGCTGTGTAGTATCCCATGGTGTATATGTACCACATTTTCTTTATCCAGTTTACCATTGATGGGCAGCTAGATTAATTTCATGTCTTTGCTATTGGGAAGAGCAAACGCATGTCTATTTTTGGTATAATTATCTATTTTCCTTTGGGTATATAACCAATAATAAATTGCTGTGTCAAATGATAGCTCTGTTTTACATTCTTTGAGAAATCTCCAAACTGTTTTCCACAATGACTGAACTATTTTCCCATCAATAGTGTATGTCCTCCATTTTCTCCCCTGCATCACTAGCATCTGTTTTTTGTTTTGTTGTTTTTTACTTTTTATAATAGCTATTCTGACTTGTGTAAGATAGTATCTCATTGTAGTTATAATTTGCATTTATCTGATGATTTGTAATGATGAGCATATTTTTATGTTTGTTAGGTGCTTGTATGTCTTCTTTTGAAAAGTGTCTGTTCATGTCATTTGCCCAATTTTGATTGGAGTTATTTGGTTTTTGCTTCTTAAGTTCCTTGTAGATTCTTGATGTTAGACCTTTGTCAGATACATAGTTTGCAAATATTTTCTCCCATTTTTCCCATTGTCTGTTTACTCTGTTGATAGTTTCTTTTGTTATGCAGAAGCTCTTTAGTTTAACTAGATCCTACTTGTCAGTTTTTGGTTTTGTTGTAATTGCTTTTTGAGACTTAGCAAAAAAAAAAAAAAAAATTGCCATTGTCAAGAAGGTATTTCCTAGGTTTTCTCTTAAGATTTTCATAGTTTGAGGGCTTATATTTAAACCTTTAATCCAATTTGAGTTGATTTTTATAAATGGTGAAATTACTACAACATCCAACATTATACAATTGTTTAATTGAGTACATTACCTTAACTCTCTATATATCACTGACTTTCTTGCTCAGTGACCTCTGAAATACATAGTAATGGAATCCTTGCTGCAACCTTCTAGGTGCTCATATAGACACACGTAGAAGTTCTACAGGCAAGCCTTAACTAATAGGTGATGGACATCCATGGATGAATGCTCTTATGTCCCTTGGAGATAAAATATTTGGAGGTCGATTCCAACTTTTGGAGGTTTTGACCTGATCATTTATCCCTGAAGTTCTCTCCTCTGATTTCACATTCTCAGTCTCTCATTCTTGTTTCCTCAGATCAGTTCCCAGACTATATTACCTACATAGAAGTCACTGCTTCCCTGGTTCAAGCTCTAGATCCTCAAGGAACTTAGGCTAAAACAAGTGTCTAGTCAAGCATATATACTAAGTACTTTGAACATTCATAACTCTGCCTTTGAATCTCTGCATTTTTTGACAGTAAATTGCATATCCCACCAATGCAACTTACTATCTTCTCCCTTGGATTGATGATCCATGAAGTGTGGAATGAGAACCACTAAATATGCTCTTCACCTTTAGTGCTTTGTGAACTGGGGACAATATATAGAGTCAGAAAGAGAAAGGGTAGGGGATTGGCAGATACAGTGGGATTGCGTACAACAATTGTTGCGTACAGCCTTTATGCTCTAGGACAAGGTGATGGCAGGTAGATAAAGAAAAATTTAGTTTTAATGAGCATTGCAGAGAAGGATTGTTAGAAGATGGAGAGAGTTTGAGTTAAAAATGGCTGGTAGAAGGATAAAAGATGCCAAATTGGACCAAGATAGTTCTAAGTACATGATCAATATTACTTTACACATTCTGCAAGTATGAGTGTTTACCATGCATAATGACAATTCTAAGAACCGAGGATATGAAAATGTCAAGATATAGCTCATACTATTGAGAAGACCTTTTGCTTTTGCTGAGCCACATTTGTCTGTTTATGTACTAGATGATTCCTATGCATTGATTGATTCATTTCAATCAAACAGCCATACTATGAATTAGGTAGTGTTAGTTTTGTCTTTCTTCATGAGCTTTCTTTCAAAGATTTTAATTTTAAATGTCAAAGCGATTTCCTACTATCAGTCAAAATAAGAGATGCAATCAAAGCAACAGATTCCTAGCAATGATCCACAGTGGTGGTTTTGTCCATTTTCTAGCCTTTTTTCCAAAATGTCCTAAGCCTATATAGCACACCTTCTAGAAAAGCCTTCTTCCAGTTTTTCTCTGCATGTTATTCTAGATCAGTGATTCTGAAAGTATGGTGCATTAGCACCACCTGGGAACTTCTGGAAAATTTACATTCTGAGTCAAAAACTGGGAGTCAAAAATCAGATGATTCTGTTACATAATAAAGCTTGAGAACCACTGCTCTAGATCTTGTCCCATTCCTCTAGGTCCTGTGATCATTTTCTCTGCCTATTGCCTTAAGACATTATATCAGGGCCTCCAATGAAAGGCCTGCCCCAACTAATATGACCTTTCTTCATTCTTTTCTATTATCATCTCATGCATCTCATGTTAACATTCACACATGGCTGTCAGACAGTTCATTTTTTGGTGAGTAAAGAGGATTTGGAGATAAATGGCAAGCATTGAGGCTGAAAAGGCATTAAAATGGACATAGAAAAAAGGATCTCATTATTCATGTCAGAGAGCCTTAATTTTATCATAAAATATTATGTGAACCCATTGAAGAGTTTTAAGCAGGAAAACGATCATGATTAGATATACATTTCGGAAAGATCATCCCAGATGTTATGTGAACGACTGAAAGGGGGACTGGAGATAGTCTTTCAGGGTTTAATGTCAGTTCCACCACTTCTATTTAGCCTCTCCTGATCCATGGCCACCAAAGAAATAGAGAGTCCCCTCTTTCTGGAGCTCTCTAGTTCCCAGTTTGTGTGTCTCTTGCATTCTTTAGATTACTCAATCATGGTTATTTATAAACTTGCCTATCCCTCTGACAGTTAATAAGTTCCTAAGAGCTCTTTACCTCCCTCAGAACTTGACTTTGCATCTTGCATAAAGAAAGTGTCCAGACAATACGTGATAAAATGGAATTGATCTTTTCCACAATAAACTATTGAAGGTGTAGCAGCATTTATTCATCAATTTGATTAGTTTAACTGCATTAGATAATAAAGATTCTGGTATTTTCCCAGTAAGTGCACTTTTCAGTGAGAGAAAATGGTAGTGTATGAATTTTAGCAATCGGCAGTTTCTTCAGTTCACAATGTTAATTTAAATTATTTAAAAGGTGAAATATTTATATCCTGTTAATTTGGATTATTAAGAGGGCACAATTATTTTTCCAGCCAGCAGCACATCAAAGGTTTGGAAATCTGGATGGTACCATGTTCCTCGTTCTCACAAGTGCATTTTGAAAATTGTTTCATAGTCTCTGATAGAATGTCAAAATGTTCAAGGGATTAGCACATGTTTAGTAGTTGTGACCCAGTCTATTTCACTGCCTTCACTTTATTTTCAAGGATAAAAAGATTTTTTAGTTGTTAAGAAAAAATAATTCTCTGTTCAAAGACTACTTTTGACCTATAGAGCAGCATTTTCTTTGAACCATTCTGGGGCTATTTTTATTAGCCAGCCACTCAACAGAACATACTCTCTATGTTCTCTGAATTTAATAGTGTAGTACATAACACCTTCCTTCTTTTTAATTTTTCAGTATAAATTACCATAAGGAATGGCATAGCAAATAGTACCAGTACTAAGGAAGATTAATTTCACTATACTAAAAGTTTGGTTGTCAAGAAAGCCCTCTCCATACCCTGAAGCAGACACTGTAGTCACTACTGATATCTAACTGCCACCAGCGCTTCTACGCAACCTTGTGGGGCCTTAACAAACGCCCATCTGCTGCAATAGGATGGTGATAGTTAAATAACCCACCTGTGACACAAATGCACATATTTTTCTTATTCTCCCGTATACTTTTATCATTCTTCCTTTCTCCAGACCACTTTCATATTCTTCCTTTTTTCCTCACCTTCCAATTCTCAACCTAAATTTTCTTATGTTTTTCTTACCTCTTACTCTAGGTCTGTATCCATATGTAAATTCTATTATCCATCTTTCCAGCCATCTAACATTTTATAAAATATTTCTTTCACTCATGGAATGTTCATAGCCTAATAACTGTGATTGCAACAAGCTTACATATGGGGAGAAGAGCCACCTCTAAGGCTTGCAGACTGATTGCTGCCTGAGAGCATGGGCTTGGCAGCACTGTCTCTGTATTTCCAAAGTAGACTGGCAAGGACAAAATCAAGAAGGTTTCAAGACTATACACAATGATTAGGTTTATCCCCTGAATGCCAGAGAAACCAGTGAACATTGTTAAACAAGCTGGTGGCATGTTCAAATTTATATTCAGAAGTTGCATTATGTTAGCAGTATTCAAATAAGTTAGGGGTACTTTACTGACAAATAGAAAGATGTAGAAGGCCAGGCACGGTGGCTCATGCCTATAATCCCAGTACTTTGGGAGGCTGAGGTGGGCAGATCACCTGAGGTCAGGAGTTTGAGACCAGCCTGACCAATAAGGTGAAACTCCTTCTCTACTAAAATACAAAATTAGCCAGGTATGGTGGTGCATGCCTGTAATCCCAGCTATTCGAGAGGCTGAGGCAGGAGAATCACTTGAACCCGGGAGGCAGAGGTTGCAGCGAGCCGAAATAGCACATTGCACTCCAGCCTGGGCAACAGGAGGTAAAACTCTGTCTCAAAAAAAAAAAAAAAAGTGTAAGCACATTTTTAAAAAATATATTTGTATTAAAGAGGGAAGAAGTGTCAAGTTTCAGAAATGAGCAATTGTGATCAGAATGAGGAGACAGATAGGAGGCAAGACTTACTGGTTTGTGTAGGTGGGAATGAAAGAAAGTGCAGGAGGCTCGCTGAGGTGAATTTGCAAATGAAATTGCTGGAAAAACCGGGATAAGAGCTTTTGAGGTCCCCATAGAATCAGATGGCGAACGTGGGCCTAGGCCATGGTTTCCCAACCAAGTATAAACTTCGTTCATGCCAAGTAAATAATAATTAGACAAGGCCACTGCAGGACCATTCTGAAAGAAGATAGAGTCAAGGTTACCCTACAACCACAAAAATAGCTAAATGTCTCCTTGTCCAGCTGACAGGAGTGGTCACTCTTCTTAATTAATGGTGACTTAGGCCTCACATTAATCATCATGTTTCCTAGGTAAAAATCACCAGGGTACACAATTATCAACTTGTCTTTTGACAGCACACAATTTAGAATTAGCTCCCATGGTGTCTTTAACTGTGCATTTCCTGAGCCACAGCAAGCTAAATAAATACTGCAGCTTATAAATAAATCTGTACTTCATTTGGCTACAGGTGCATTTCTTATTGCCTGGCCTTTGTTCACTAGGCAACAAGAACATCCAGTTAGAGCTCTGTGGTAAGTTGCAGAATATGTGGGCAAAGAGCTCATCAGAGAGGGTCTAAGTGAAGACAGAGCCGTTCAAGGTATCAATGTATAGGCAATCTACACACCAAAGAATATAATGAGATTTTGTACAGAGAGAAGGGGCCTGACTAGATCCCACAAGCAATGGGTATGAGGGATGGGCAGAAGAGAGATAATAAAAAGAATTTTAAGTATTCTCAATGTCAGACACATAAGAAAAGAAGGTGTTATAAAAAAGAGGTAGCTCTCCATAAAACGTCCAATGACACAAAAATAGTTGAGGAAAATGAGATTCTACATAAATCAATAGGAAATCAGTTCAGCAATGTGTAGAAAATAATTATAGCCAAATGGGTCATTTAAAGGTTTTCTTGAACTGTTGTAACACCAAGAGTTTGAAATAAGTAAATTTGAATGTTCTTATTTTACAAACGAAGCATAAGGTCTGTGCATAGGGCTGACTAATATAGCTATGATTTAGCTGATATTCCAGATTTCGAACTCAAAGTCTTGTAAGGGGTGCAGTGTTTACAGTGCTTGATTCGTCTATCACATGCACTGTGACTTCGTAAGGTGATTAAGAACAAGCAGGTGTTTTGTCACTAGTTAACTTCTTAACTCTCTATCATAATAAGAGGAGTAGGTTCAGGCAGATCCAGAACATTTTATAAGAGCAACAGTATTGCAATAATAGTGAGAGCCCCTGAAATGTGCCAAGAGCTTAGACTATAGCTTTGCATAGGTTGTCTTTAATCTTCAAAACATCCGGCAAAGGAGGGCTTGTTTTTCCAGGTCTCAGAGTAGGACATTGATGGCTACAGAAGGTCAGTAACTTGCTTAAGTTCACACGTTAGGAAATTGGGACTTGACTCTAGAGCCTATGGTTTTTCCTCTGTGCTTTGCTATATGGGGAAGGAAGATGGTGGTGGATACTGCAGTGAAGATATTTGTCTTCCAGTGGGAGGGCCTTGGCTAGTTGGGAGAATGTTATCACTTAAGAAATAAGATCAAGTAGCACAAATGACAACAGAAGAAGATACACTATACAGTAATATTGTAAATGCCCCAAGTGCATGGCCCATGTCTTATTTTTAATTTTTTTTAACTTTTATATATTTAGGGGATACAAGCACAGTTTTATTACATGGATATACTGCACTGTGGTGAAGCCGGGGTTTTTAGTGTACCCAGCACTTTAATATGTCTTATCCATTCCTATTTTGTCAGCATCAAGTACAGTGTCTGATGCATAGCAGATGCTCATTTTATATATTAACTGAGGATCCAACCTGGTTGCAGCACTAGGAAATAACCTCTCATTCTTGATCCAATTTTTGCCAAGATGCATGCAATGAAAAAATTAGATTCTCTTCTCCTCCCTCTGGAGTTGGCTAGTGCCAAATTACAATTAAATCCAAAACAATGGTTTAGTTAAAGGTCAACAGCTTTGGTAGCATGGATCGTTGAGCTGGGCTGAGCCCTCTGTGAATATTGATTATTGAGTTCAGGTTCTCACCTTGAAGAAACAGGCCCAGATATGGGCTCCTACGTGCTCCAGGCAACAGCAGAAAGAGAGCAGGTGTCTGAACAGTGGGTCTGCTTTGTCCTTCTCTCTGGGCTGCCTCTAAGGTAGGCTCTTTGCCAGGGACAGGATGTGTTACATCTTGTTTCAGAAAGTTTTCCACAAGGTCTGTGGGGGGCATTTCATTCCTGTAAAATTATACTTGGGCTAGTCTTTTCTAATTCCACAAGTTGGAATCCAGGATCAATTGATGTGGTGATAAATATTTCAAGAAATTAAACCTTCTTCCAGAATAAAGTCATTATTTGAAGGGTAATGATCAGACACTGAAAGTATTTGACCCTTCTCAGGGATCCCAAGATTATGTGGAATGAAGGTATCAGAAAGGAAAATGCTGTTTGTGGCAGCATTGGGAAGGCTCCTTTCGGACTCCAATTTCGAGGAGTGTCTTGATCAAAAGCCTCAGCTGCTGTGTGCTGAAATCCATCACGGCATTTTTACCAAAGACACTCTTCCCACAGGTGGCTCCCAGCCTATCACTGAGCACAGGATGCTATAGTGGCAATTCACTCTGAAAGGAAAAATGACAAAACAGGATGCCTCCTTGAAAGAACTACATCTTCACTGCAGAAATATTTACTGAGAACCAATCTGTATGCTAAGTTCATTTCAATGCTTTGGAAGTCCAACAATTAACCAACCAAACAAAATCCTTGCTCTCTTCAAGCTTACATTTATGGTTGGGGGTGGGGAGGAAGACAGATGATAGAAAAAACTGTCAAGTAAAATATGCGTGTAATTTCGAGAATGTTAAGTACTAAGGAGCAAAACAAATCAAGCAATGGGAAAAGTTCATGTCAGGGGTTGGGGATTTTCAGATTTTGAAGGTAGCAGGGAGATGTTCACTGATACAGGGAAATTATTGCTGGAGAGAAATGAGGATAAAAGGAAATATTAGAGACTAAACATTCACAGATGTTCACCTTTCTTATTCTCCAAGGAGTGAAGGAGCAAGGTAGCTAGTAGAACCACACACTTGATAAAGAAAAAGCACTTAACTCTCTGAGGAAATGGGATGAAGCTACAACAGAGACAGGCAGGGGAAAGGAGGAGATTAAGAGACAGAGAGAGTAGTGAAGAGTAGAGCAGCTGGTTTAAATTATAGAGCTCTGATGGAAGAAATGGATGAGAAAGAAATACAGAAGTTTTCCAGTGTGCTGTGCTGTGAACTCCATGTTTTGTGTTCCCACAAACACTTGATTGAAAGCTGTTAAAAGTTGAATTTGTTTCTTCTGGTTAAATCATATAACTATGCTGAGAGGGTTTTAAGATGAAAACAAAAAAGCTGTTTTAAAGTTTTGTTTTTCATGTTTTTAGGTTTTTATAGTTTTCAGGTTCCCCTAACAGCATGCCTAGTGCTGGATCTTAAATAAAGCTACCCCGTTAGACTCCACATCATCCGATCTAGACTCAATAAATCTGATATTTTGATCTGAAGTTGCCTGATTTCTGTGCCTTTTTCAATTGACTGTATTCTCAGTTTTGGAGCAGTGGTGCCTTCATCAGGCTTCCTCAAATCTGCGTGCCACTAAACAGGGGTGGCATCCCTCAGAGATGGGAAAATGTTGGAACTCAAGTGAGAGTGTGTATCTCTGGCTCTGGTAGTTATGTGTCAAAGTAAAGTTATCTCTGTAGCTTTAGTGGCTGCTTCAGAAGCCAGGTCAAAATTTAGTTGGAGAGCAACTTGTACATGTGGATTCAGGCTCTGTGGCCTCTCACTGCGTCATCCTCTGAGGAGCAGAGAATATTTATTTTAATCCCTCATGAAACCCAGAATCCTCAGAGCTAAAGTCAGTGCATGTTTGACCAGAAGCCCCAAGCCCATTGCTGCTGGGGTAGCTGCAATTCTCAAGAGCTGTCAGGCTAAAGCCATCAATGTACGCATGTATCTTGGACCCAATAACCAGCAACCATACATTAGGTTACCAGGTAATGAGTTACAAATAAGTGAGGAAAGCAACAAAACTAAACCACGTAATCATAACAAAAGGACTTCAGATCTTAGCATCTTCACCATTTTGGGTAGTAAAAGCTCTGCCAGGTAACCCATCTATGCCCAGTTAGCCCATGACTTAGTACATCTGATTTTTGGAAAGGACTCAGGGTTTCCTCAGCATTACGGCCATGAATCAATTTTTTTAATGAAGTCTATCAAGATATAATTTAACAATAAACTGAAAATACTTTAAATATACGATTTATTTCCATGTATGAAACTCTCACCACAATCAATAGAGTGGATATAGCCTTTAACCCTAGATGCTTCCTCCTGCCTGAAGATGCTCTCTGCCTTATCCTCCAGGCAACCATTGATTTGCTTTCTGACACTAAAGAATGGTTTACATTTTTCAAAGTTTAATACATATGAAGTCACACAATATATACTCCTTTTTGTGTGGCTTTTCTGCATCAGCATAGCTATTTTGAAATTCATACATGTTGTGAATAGTTCATTGCTTTTTACTTTTGAATAATATTCCACTGCATGAGTACCTCCCAGTTTGTTTATTACATTTACCTTTTGATGGACATTGGCTTTGGCTATTACCAATAAAGCTGTTGTGAATGTTGCTATCCA